CAGACGTTTTCCTCTTTTGTTTTTTTATCCGCCATCTCTATCTTTCTGTTGCTCAGCTCAGCTAATGTCCGTCCTGTGTACTGAACGCTCTCTCCTCCACATCATGAGTAGACACGCCCCTTACTGCTGATTGGCTACAAGTTTGTTTTGCTACTCAGCCCGAATTAGTTTTCTAAAGCGTTTTTGAAAAATTGCTTACCCCACCTTTAAACTGATATTATCTACAGACAGAAACTTTTGCTTCAGACTTTGACAGAACAGGCTAAATCTTATGTACTTTAGTATTTCGTATAATGTACTGTACAAGTACAATGTAAATTGTATTCTTTTGTAAGTATGCTAAATGCATAAATGTAAATATATTGTGGGAAAGAAGAGAAAATGTTGAAGCTAAATTTTTATTTGTGAAAGTTTTTGTTTCATTTTCTTATTATATTTTTTTATTATGTTTGTAAATATGCCTGATACAAAATACTTCAGCTGAAGAAAACAAGAAGAGTAGCTGCCATGACCAATGTTATTTTAGTATAATTTACATAGTATTATAGCATTTATTCATATATATATATATATATTTCAGTTTGGTTTTAATTTTAGGTTAAATTTGAGTAATTTTGCTATATGCATTTGGCATTATTTTTAGGGGTTTTTAATATTTATACTAGCTTTTTAACTTCAGTTTTAGTCATTTTAGTACTTCAACTTACTAAAGGCAAAAATTCCAATTTTCATTTCAAGTTTTTTAAGTTTACATTATATATATATATATATATATTCAGATTTACCAAAAAATATTTTTGTAAGTATTTTATTAGTTTTGCATTACACAATAAACACAAAACAATACATGAAATAATAAAATAATAATAATAATAATAAAAAAAATAATAATAACAAAAGAAAAGCACACTTTTAAGAACAATTAGGGCATATAGGCAGTTTCAGTGGAAAATTAAACAAGCACTCAATAGTGGGCATGCAGCATACTAATTATTACATTGCTGGTCAGAGTCAACATTACACTGGGCCAGATGACCTAGAAATGGTTGCCATATACTGTAAAATTTATCAAGATTACCCATAACTCCATACCAGACTCTTTCCATGTGAAATATTCCAGTAAGATAAGTCAACCACATCTTAAACTGAGGAACAATATCCGATTTCCACACCCTTAGAATGACGATCTTTGCAATAATCATTCCATCAATAATGGTACTTTGTACAGAGACATTGTGGTGCAACAGAATATCCATATAACGTGATTTCTGTAGTAGAATGATTGGAAAGGATGAGTTTGGAGACTTCTGCCTCAGAGAGTGAAGAGAAGGATGTGAATGAGTGTCTGTTTGCTGGTAAGATGTGCTTGACAGATTGTGGTAAAATTGTGCACTGATGGTTTTAATTTTACTAATGAAGAACATGGCTAAGTCGTCAGCTGTTAGAGTTGATGGAGGGGGAGGAGGAGGACAAAGGAGGGGTTTTTTAAGTTTACATTATATATATATATATATATTCAGATTTACCAAAAAATATTTTTGTAAGTATTTTATTAGTTTTGCATTACACAATAAACACAAAACAATACATGAAATAATAAAATAATAATAATAATAATAAAAAAAATAATAATAACAAAAGAAAAGCACACTTTTAAGAACAATTAGGGCATATAGGCAGTTTCAGTGGAAAATTAAACAAGCACTCAATAGTGGGCATGCAGCATACTAATTATTACATTGCTGGTCAGAGTCAACATTACACTGGGCCAGATGACCTAGAAATGGTTGCCATATACTGTAAAATTTATCAAGATTACCCATAACTCCATACCAGACTCTTTCCATGTGAAATATTCCAGTAAGATAAGTCAACCACATCTTAAACTGAGGAACAATATCCGATTTCCACACCCTTAGAATGACGATCTTTGCAATAATCATTCCATCAATAATGGTACTTTGTACAGAGACATTGTGGTGCAACAGAATATCCATATAACGTGATTTCTGTATCAGGCGGAAAAACACAACCATACATGCTATACATACAATGACCAATTATATAATCTAAAATACACTTTTCTTCGAACATGAAACTTGCAATGTAAAAGTCCATATTATTTGTCAAAAACTCAACAGCAGATGGCAGCAAAGCTCTATTCAAACTCATGAACTTGATCCATTATTTAAAATGACCAATTTGCAATTTAAGCACAACTGTTACAGACATGCTAAAAGTAATGATACATTTGAGTTATTCCCAACTATTGCATGGTCCCTGGAGGTGTAATATGGACAATACATATGTCATTTCCAAAGACAGTATTTTAGTTGTCCCATATTTTACAGCACAAACGCTATCAATCAGATGTAAAAGGTAAAACATACATGCTTTTGCAAAGAAATCTGGAGCACAAAACCCCATTCGTTTACGAGAATAAAGATTCTGGAACAATTTCGCCAAGTAATTGATTCTATTCAGATCAATTCTCATTGGATGACCATTAGAGCTCAAGACAAAGACCCTTTCATGCAAAGTCCTGTCATACTAAAACAATGGCCATGACTGAGATGATGGATCCATTTCTACCTTTCCCACTCTTCGTTTTTATGTAATTCACTGGATGATCTTATCAATTCCATCCTCCAGAGCAGGGACAGGTCTGCTCTCTCCGGGTCAGAGGTCACCGTCAGAGTTCAAAGGTCAAATTTAGTATTTAAATTGAAGACCTTACAAATCGCTGATGGATACAGGTAGCTTTTATCATAATATCATTACACTGTTGGCTCTTAAATGATTGAATGATATAAAAATTACAATTACAATTCTATTGAAGTGAAGCATCCACACACACTGACTAATGTAGGTGAATGAAGATTTTACAAATTTACAGCACTTATACTTTTACCAATGTATTTTTAATCTATATCACCAATTTATTTTATAACTTTTCATTTATAACAATTAATTTACTTGTTTTTTAGCGGTAGGTTCAGTGCCTCACCAAAGCATAAAGCTTCTTGGCTTAGGCTGGTATAATATGTGTGTGTGTGTGTGTGTGTGTGTTTGTGTGCATGTGTGTGTGTGTGTGTTTAAGAGCCATGATGTAATGTGAAGACTCAAGTCTTTCCCACACTTGGAGAGGGATCCCTGACAGCCTGGGAAACTAAAAGCTTCCATCTGTTCAACAGGTCAACAGAGGGTCCTGTGACCTTTGACACAGATTTGTCCCCCAGTAAACATGAAGGACCAAGCTGTTGACAGAGTGGTAAACGATACAGACCAGTTCTGTGTAA